ATAATATAATTAAAATAGAATTTTTGTGATAAAATAGTAACTAAATTTTTATGTTATATATGTATTAAAAACTAATCTCATAAACAAATATATAGTGTATGTACACTTTAAATAAATTTTATATATCGTACATTAAATATTTCCAAACTACTTAAAGAAAAATCGATTAAATAAAATTTAGGAACGTGTGGTTCTCTCGTGCCATGACGGTGGACGGGCAAGTGAATTAAATCGAACGGTAGAGCTCGAATGAATCTTCCCTTTCATGTATAGCATCTCATCTGGAATCGGCACTTAGCTTGCTCGCGCGCGCGCGCGCGCGCACTGTCCTCGTAAATCTTCGATTTTACGAGCATGCATTATACTCGCCGGCAAAAAAGTCCGATGGGTCCTGGCGCGAGAAAGCGCAGTAAAACTACTCGCTTCCGTCATGAAAACCCCCGACCAAGTTCGCGATACGTGCCACGGAGCCATTACTCGCGCGAACGGAATAAAGCGGCGTCCGAGTTTTCGCGTTTACGAGACGCGATTAAACGCGTTTTATAGATTCCATCGATTCCCCGAATTCTGGCGATTCGCGCGGAATTAATCGGATCGCGAGTCGAGAGACCAGCTGCGAATTGACGATGTTTGGTCGTCCGTCGCCAATTGTTTTCGCCGACGCAGCGAATAGATAGATAGATAAAAAAGAAAAAGAGAAAATCGGGAAAACGAATTTTTAAAATCTCACGATATATAGATTGTGCTTGCAATAGTGCACGCTTCTCATACAAAGCATGTTGACGATTTGGAATGTTAATTGAATTAATTTATCTTGGTGTGTTGCAGGTGCCGTGCACGGTATTAGATGTTACAGATGCGGACAGTACAACGAAGGAGTCGGCAGCATTACACCGTGCCTTAATTACACCGCACAGATGCTGATGGAATGCTCATCCGCGGAGGAATGGTGCATCGTAAGTACCATATATTATTCTTTTTACCCGTTTAAACTTTCAAATAACTGAACGATGCACGAGACGCTTCGATCATCAGAACGTTGGCGCAAATATTATTATGGGAATAAGTAATAAAAAATATACGCCTTATATTGGAAAATTTTTCTTGAGGACACTCGCACGAGCGCAACCGGAAACGGATGGTTCGTCCCCCGAGTGTCTCGTAAAAAGATAAATATTTCTTTCACGCCGATGCGGCGCCAAGGATCGCTTGACATTCTTCCAAAGTCGGCTATAACGAACGACGTTATTTACCTCTCGGCGGACTCTCGCCAATGTCGGATTTATGAGACGAGTCTGCGCAAATTGGCTCCGGGAAGTTCCCTGCAAGCTCGAAGCGTCCGTTCGCCTTCGACGAAGCTTTTCCTCGGCTGAACGCGGAGAGATTTTCTCGCATCGAAGGGATTACGGAAATTTGGAAAAATAACTCGCAGGAGCATCCGAAATAGAACTGTAAATATTCAAGCAGCAATAATACTGGTCGGATAAATTTGAGACTTTCAATCAAAGATACTTGATAAACGTTCGAGTCGAAATTTTTCTCCTGCTTTTCACCCCAATGTTTGATCTAACATTTACTTTGATACTTTAAGCAATCAGATCATCTTATTTCGAAATTTATTTAATTTACGATTTTTACCGAAAGCTCTTCCTTCTTTAAACTTCTAACAATAATTTTAAACGTGATTTCAATAATCTAAATGTAATTTTGGGATTCAAGATGAAATGCATTTTGCATAAATGATCCGTGTCTCAATTTCTCGGCTCTGTACGCATTGCATATTGCAAATGTGTTTCCATTTATGCTTCTCTTATTACGATGAAATAATTTATGAAATCACCAAGTCTGCGAGAACCTATCTATTCTTCGTGCGATGCATGAATGATCAAGTTCATTTCTGACATCGCAAAATGCATAATAAGCATTAAATTAATTAATTAATTCCACCATTGTGTTATAGAAAAACCAATGTTAGCTTAAGAAAGATTATTCATTTAAATATAATCATGATTTCTTTTAATATATTTTGTTGAAGTAAATATATGATACATCGAGAAATAAATTCCAAATTTGTAAGTGAAAATAATATAAACTGGAAAACGATGGTAATAAATATCACTTCGTGGCTTTTGAATAAGAGAATAAATGCAAACGTTTGGAATGCAAATGAAATCCCTGCGCATAATAAAATCTCCTAAAATCTCCCTGAATTTGCACGATTTCGAATAAGAAAGTACAGTAGGGTGAAGTAGTAAAGGTCGATGATGGTCCGCCCACGGTACGACAATGGCAAACAATTGGAAACTTGAAGGTCTCGCCGAGGCGAAACCTCGCGGAAGCTCCCTCGCGAGTCTACGAATCTCGAAGTTTACAACCATAACGTCTTAATAAGACGGTACGATCTGATCAGCATAACGATAGAGAGATCCCCCTTCCGGATCTCTTCATCGCTCTATTGAATTAAATGAATTCGATCGGCTTCCTCTCCTTTTGCTCTTCTTTGCGGCTTCTATCCTTGTTATCTATTGCCTCCCGATTCATCCCTTTCCCTTTCCCCTTTCCCGCGTCGTTGTTCGATTATGGTCGGCAAACAGTGGCGAACATTGACCGTCGATCCCGCAACATCCGGTCGATTATTTTCCGGCATATCGAATTCGGGAGTTTCGTAGAGATGGGGGCGAGGACGGTAGGGAAGGGGAGGGGGGGAAGAAGCGATCGTCTGTAATTAAATGCTGTTCGTGCACGCGATAACGGCTTCCAAGTCTCCTCGATCCCGGAGGTAACCGGCAATTCTCTACCAGCGGGGCGGAGCCGGGTTCGATGCCTTCCGGGCCTCGAGGTGCATTCACTGCAAGCACTGCATTATCACGCACGCGTCCTCGCTCTCTCTTCCTCCCTCTTCCCGTCCCCCTTATACTGCACCGGGTCGGGCATTCCGATTTGGCCTTCAAATTAGTGCCAATTGCATATATCACGACGTATTAATTAACATTTAGCACAGCGTTATCGGCTGTGACAGGCTACCGATCGTGTGCGTTTCTCATGGGAACATCCTGTCTCTCTCACTCTCTTTATCTTTTTGGCTACCGCAGATCAGTATCAGCAGGCGAATTGGTACAATAACTATAAACTTAAATGTTTTTGAATTCGATCCAATTGTTTGATTTGTAAAAAACCGATCGCCATCGCCCAGCGTCCCATTAATGCGCAATAAACACTAGATAATCTTGATTTAGATAAAAACGAGAGTACATTTTTGTAAAATAAAATTCGATTCACGCAACAGAAATTTAAAAAAAAATAATAATTCTCTCGACACTGATACTGAAATGCAGATTTTATTTATTCAAGAGAGATTCACCTAAAATTACAGACTTTCAGAATATATGTATAATATATTCATTGGGTTAAATGTCAATAATTAAAGTTATTTTCAATGGGATCGATTTAAAATTTTCATTAATATTCAGCGCTTTCTTCTCTCTAGCCTAACTCTAAAAATTACCTTAGAGAAAAGTCGGGATTTAAAAAAAAATTCTATTCGCGCATTCATGATGAAGAAACTATCGTTAATTATTAACTCCGATTATTTCTCCCCGGTTTACTGAGACGCGCCATTCTTTACTGTAAAAATAATCTTCTCTTAAATAACGGAATCCGCGTTTGCGACTATCGTTACCTATTAACGCCGTTTACCCTTCTCAAGTTTCAGGGGCATGTGTTACTATTATGAGAATATTTATATTGTATGAGAGAATAATTTATCTCTTCATGTGTTCGGACATTTTCATATCGTGGCCATTTCAATAATAAATATGGTCAAATTCGATATACCTTGATAAAAAATTAATTTTGTATCTTTAAATTTATTCTAAAAATATAATATGTTATCCCATTTATCTCTCGATTAAAAATGTATGCGATCGACAAATGTTTATTTCATAAATTGAACAATTGAAAGCAGCTGCAGATTCTATATTATATCATATCCTTCCTTCATATCGTTCAAAATCACGACTTTCCTGTGGCATGTTTTGTTTCATAAAAATAGATAACAGTTCCGTTTGGATTTCTTTATTTCTCTAAAGACATTCATGCGACAGCGAGCCGACAAGAATACCGCAAATAAATCTGCGGTGCCGAAACGCGAGTAGGGATATAGAGAGAAATCCTATCGAATCTGCTCGGCGTGGCTTTCCCACCGAAATCGGATGGCTGGCGCCCTTCATCTGCCGTTCGACGGCATACTTTTTTTCTCGCGCACGATTCGACACGCTCGTTTCGCATCTGCATAGAGATTGGATGGTATATTCTCGATCGAGGGTGCGAAAGCTTAATATTCGTCCATCGGCGAGATTCGGCGGGATTGGATGAAACGAACGATACGAGGTTAACGGAAAGAACGCATCCGCAGATGATAGGAGAGAGCTCAGTCTTTATAATTCTTGATTAAAAGCGATTGAAAAATGCCGAGATAGAGTGTTCCCCTGAGGAATGAATCTATAATCATCGGCCAATTTCCCGTCAATTTAAGATCAAAGATAAGTTTATGATCCTTTTTATATACAATATTTGTCTCTTTTTTCACATATTCAATTTTTATGACATCGAGATCGATATTGCAATATCAATTTTCTTTCTTATAATTGCAAAAATTCACGCTTGATAAAAAAATCTCTAAAGAATTCTTTTATCAGGGGGATCGTACGTGAAGTCGAACAATTATTTTATATCTTTACAGTATTCAATTAAGCCACGTGGGACAATGCAATTGCCGAGGCAATTGCATTACTATCTCTTGAATCTAAACGACCGACCGGTCGTTTCTGTAGTTTTTATTTTTGGATAGTTTTGGCGTTCTTAGCATTGAGAGTGATTCAATTCCGTTATTTCTTGAGCAAGGCACTTCTTTCAGCGGATACTTCTAAAAAAAAAAAACATTCAAAGCTTTACTACCGATTTTTTAGATTAGCTTTTATTCGCAGATTTTGCGGTTCGAGCGGTTAGCGTATCGAGCTCTTTCATTGAAGAGATAAAAGTGTATCTATCGTATTTCTTTGTACGCGGTCCTCTTTAAAACTTCAACGGGATTTTAATCAACCTTTATCACCCGACATTTGTCGCTTTGACGATAACAATACGAACCGTTGAATTTAATTTTTTTCTCTTTCAATGTTATTACAGAGATCTGTGTTAAAATTAGGATTAGCGTTGATTTTACTTTAATCAATGTTAGATATAATTAATTAATAATTAATTGTCGTAAATCTGATGTAACCTATTTTTATTTTAACAATGTTGATTCAAATAGATAGAAATAATCAAAATCTGGAATTGCATTCGCAGCATCGTCGTTCCATCTTGTCGAGAGGAGCTAGGCGGAAAAACGACTTTACCAGGAATCATCTTTCGATCATGGCTCTCGCTATATACATAAGAATTTCGATAATGGCGAGGCAAGGGTCAGAATGATAAATCGGCGAACGGTTGAAACGTGGCATCATGCACAGCTGACGTGCACGATCAGGAGTTCCGCGAAATCTTACGGGCCGCTTTTTACGGATCGGTTTTTCCTGGCCGGGACGCGCCGCGCCGGAAAATGGAGCACGTTTTCCCCCCTTCCCCTCCTCGCCGTCGTTTCTTCTCACGATTCATCATTTCACGACCGTTCTACAATGGATCTCTCTCGAGTCGATGGGCTGTCGCATGCGAACGAACAAGAGCCCTGCTGATTCTCGCACGTTAATTATCCGCGCATCATCCCACCGGTGTGACCTTTATCCGAGTTAACTCTGAATTGTCCAAACAGGAGAATCGAAAAATATGAAATTATTTGATTGAAAACTATCCAGTTATCTTGGCAGAATTATTCTCACGCGAATTACATGCTTCCTTGGAATTAAATTTTAGTATTGCAGTGAGCAGTGACGAAAACGTGACTCTCGCTGCCCCTCCC